GGTATATAGTCTTAGATATTCTTTAAATATTTCTATTCTTTATAGTCAACTTTAAAAGCTTACTTTTATATCTAAATTAAAGCCACTTGTCTTTATACAAACTATTAGTCTTCTCTTAATATTTATTACATCGTACTATTATACAGTATAGGATATTTACCTAACCTCTTTGGTACCACCATCCCTTACGCTCAAATCACTAAATACTCGTAAGGTCCGAACCTATAGTTAGGTACGTAGAAACCCCTTATAATAATATGCTATATATAGAACTTAGTTAAGCTACCTAATAATTATAAGAAGACTAAGGAACGCCGCTATAAGTACTATAAGGATGAAAACTATAGTGGCTATACCTTAGTAAGTTATTTAGAGTTGCGCGTTATATATACACTTTAGCTAATACCTATAGGTATTAAAGGTAATGAATGGATACCTTAATCACCTCTATAACCTCCATACCTAGTACCGTAATACTATTACTATAGTGCCCCTTGCCGCCGCTCGCAGGAATAATGTGGCCATTTAGGCTATAGGCTTAAAGTTCGTGCGGGCCTAGAAGTAATTTAACCTAGAGTTAGTAAACTATAGGCGCGTCATAGCTCATACTAGAACTCTAATGGGTATGGCAACCTAGGTCCCCACCATAAGTCCTTAATTCCTTGGCCTAATCCTATATAAGTAGCACCATGTTGCCTCTACTCTTAAGGTACTTATGGGTCTTATACCACTCCTAGAGGTTATTATATATTCACGCTTTAAATGCACTTAGAACGTAGGCTAATAGCTTCTTAGGCTATAAACTATATTCCGCCTACTACAGCGGATAATACTGGGGACTCTAATGGCAGTGATAATAATGATAAGGGCGAGGAGGTTGCTAGTAATAATAGTAATAATGGTGAGGAGTAGGTGTGGCATAGGTAGCATATAGGGTTTAAATAGAGTTTAGTATTCTAGTCTAAGTAGATACCTTTATAAGCCATAGGGCTTTTTAATAATATACTTAATAGTTATATTCTATACGTACTTTATATGCTCTTAACCTCTTTCTTATAGGTAGAGAGCTTTTCCTATTTTTAAAAGCCTAGACTAATTCACCTATGTCCTTAAAATC